TTGATTTGGAGGCTGGCTTAACCCATTGATAAACATAGCAGTTTCTCTGAAGTGAAGTGGTCTGGGTGCCTAGAGTGGTCCTTTAACCCAGATAGCCGTCCCATGGAGTCAATCGCATACCGAAGAACTGAAAGAGACTTTGACTCCATGGCGATTGAACTGTGCGAATGGGATCTGAGCGCTATTCTCCAATAATGTGCACTCAGATCCAGGCTATCTGGGGATATGTAATACGAATGTAATATGTTCGGCAGTTATGAAGTTATAGATTTTCATATGTTTTTGTGACTTGTATTTAAAATGGCGATTGCCTCTGCTCGGGGAGATAATTGAGTTACTTCCCAATTATCCCCCGAGCAGAGGGGAGGGAACTGTACTGCATGCTGGGAATATTGTGGGGATGTATGTCCAAAATGTCCCCATGTCCTTCTGTAATTTCAGTCTCCCATTTGGTCCCCTAGGGGAGTGTCCACAAGGTGGGAGACCTGCATAAATACCGGGCAGGTAGCCCACAGTAAATCAGTTCGTGTTTTACCCACAAAGCGGAGCTTGGTCTCGTTATTGGGGGGATTTGGTTACCAGCGACCAGAGACTACTTATTTGGATTATTTGCCGCTTGGGAGATATTGACGTTCGGTTACTATTTGCCGTTCGTGGATTTACAGCTCGTGAAGGGAATTAGCCGTACAGGTACCGTTCGGGAGTTTGGAGTGTTCCCTGGCTGGCGGTTCGCATGGTTTTATTATACCCGCTACCCGACCACATTATTGCGAACGGGGGATACTTGCTAAACGGCGGTTTGTACATTTTACTACTGGAGGTACCGTAACACTGCTGTACTGCTACTTGGAGCACTATTCCTGGAAAGCCCCCGTGCACAGACTCACAGATCAGGTGGCGTCTTACCTGGTCACCCTGGTCTGTGTCAACTTTGCAAGGGTGAGCGTATAACTCTGCGAGCTGGACTCCCCATCAGGTAAGAACCTGACATAATGAACTGACCATATGGAGTCTGCAGAGTTATACAAATTACTCACCTCCCTGGCTGAACAAGTCTTCAACCTGTCCCAGAATGTTATGGATTTGCAGAGATGTTCATTAGCATTTAAAGGAGCAGTACATCCAATCCCGCAACATACATACCCAGAACCCTATGTCATTATGCCTGACAGGTTTGATGGTTCCCGTTCTGCTTTCCCGATGTTCAAGAAGGATTGTGAGCTACTGTTTGCCCTGAAACCTAGAACCTACGCCACCGACCTTATCAGAGTCCGCTCCGCTATTAACCTGTGTACTGGGCGGATTAAGGCGTGGGCACACCAGAAGCTGCAGGAGAGAAGTACTGTCTTGGACTCCTGGGAGTTGTTCATGTCTGCAATGGACTCTCAGTGCTTTGCATCAAGGAAAGCAACTCCCAAGCCTACTTCAGGTTCTTGCAGAACCCGGTTGCCTAGAGAAGAGGAATTATTTTATGAATACAAGAATCCCATGTCGCTACAGTCTAAACCTACCTCCAAGGACCTGCCTTGTCATCATAATGTTACCCATGTGGAACTTGGCACTCTAGAGGACAAGGAGGAACCCATGGAGATCGGCTTCATCCGAACTAGAACAAGACTGCCATCTAGAGAAAGAGACAGAAGGAGGGCTTGTTGTCTCGGTTTCTATTGTGGAGAAGGAGGGCACTTTATCTCCCACTGCCCTATTCGCCCAACTTGGCCTAAGCCTCTTCAAGTAGGTACTACTCAGCTTCATCCTGTTATCCCGGCAACACAGCCAGAAAAATGTCAAGGGTACTGTCGGATGTTTCCACGTTCCGTGACGCAGAAGAGTACCCAGACTACGATGGCTACTGATGCCAGTGTCTCTCAAGAACACATAATCGGTGATCATGAGAATTCACCACCTCCAGAAGACTCTTCTGTTAAAACTGGTACCACCACCACTTCCTGTCTGCCCAAAGGAGAACTACCTGCGGATTGCACCTATGGTACCAAGGTCCACAGAACAGATCTGGAAACGTTTGAAAGGGCTTTGAAAGCCGTGAACTCTGCTCCTGGTGACTCGCCTAAGAAAAAAAGTTCAGAGAAAATGACTCCTGGGATCAAGGTACTTACCACCTCCACCAAATCCATGAATAACCTTGACCTCTTTCCATTAGTACCCGAAACTGGTGCCATAAAGTCCCAGGCTGTAAAGGGACTCCACTCTGAAGACTTTGATTACAAAGACTATCTTAGTGATACTGAGACCGAAGAAGAGTACTATTTTCAAGAAGAACCTGTTCACGCCCGGAGGGCGTTCTTGAAGGGAGGGTACTGTCATGGTTCTCACCGCGACATCCCGACGGGGTCGCCCCAGAAGTGCCCGGTGACGGACTTGAACCAGGGTACTTTGCAGTCCTGGGGCTTCTACTTTGCCTCTGAGCCACCATATCAGCTCTAGAGATAGACAGAAGTCTATCTTGCCTTGTACCCAGCATTGGGGGCTGGACGTTTTTCTGTGGCTGCTCCAACGATCTCAGCACACCTGTGGCTGATCACAAATTAGCCAGGTATAAGACACTGCCTCTCCCTGAGGGCAGTGTCAGTTCATTGATTCTGGTTCCCTTGTTTGGTTTCTGTCTTGCTATATCTGCGTTCCAGTATTTCCTGTCTGATTCTGGCTTCTGACCTTGGCTTTCCTCCTGGACTACTCTGATATCTGGCTTCCCCTGACTTTGGCTTTCCTTGACTACGCTTCTGCTAATCCCTGCTGTACTGCTACTTGGAGCACTATTCCTGGAAAGCCCCCGTGCACAGACTCACAGATCAGGTGGCGTCTTACCTGGTCACCCTGGTCTGTGTCTACTTTGCAAGGGTGAGCGTATAACTCTGCGAGCCAGACTCCCCATCAGGTAAGAACCTGACACTATAACAGTGAAAAAAGTTTTTTGTTTTTAAATGCAAGCTATTGTGACACCAGTGAGTGAGTGGTGGCAGTGGGCACAGTATCCACTGTGAGCCTGACACAGAAGCTGGCAGACAACTAACTGCAATTACATTACACAGAAAAAAAAAAAGCAGACTGATGTTCTAGCCCTAAAAAGGGCTTTTTGGGGTGCTGTCCTTACAGCAGAGATCAGATGAGTCCTTCAGGACTGTAGTGGACACTGTATACCCTGACCTAGCTATGCATTTCCCTATCTAATCAACAGCAGCTACACTTTCCCTCCTCTCACTAAGCATGCAGCTTGAGAATGAATGTAAAATGGATGCTGTCCAGTAGATGGGAGGGTCTGCTAGGGAGGGTGTGCTGCTAATTGGCTGGAATGTGTCTGCTGACTGTGAGGTACAGGGTCAAAGTTTACTCAATGATGATGAATAGGGGGCGGATCGAACCGCGCATATGTTCGCCCGCCGTGGCGAACGCAAACATGCTATGTTCGCCAGGAACTATTCGCCAGCGAACCGTTCGGTGCATCACTACTCCTAGCCATCTTCTCTCCCAGCACAGCAGACCCACTTCCTTTCAGCTGCAATCCATCACGGCTATAAAGATTGTATCAATGCACAAAATTAGTCCAATGCTCGATATCTTTCAACTGTAGCATGTGGCATAGGTATTATTTCAGAATATACCATCTTAGAGGTATGCTTTTTATAGGACATCAAAAAAACTTTAGCTTAATGATGCAGTTTGGATGTCTAGACAATGCCAAGCAGTCTCACTGCCATTTAGGAATTAAATCACTTTTGTTTCTACTTATGGAGCTCTAGCCACACCTCCGCTGGCGGTCACTAACAAAACCTGCATAAAACCTTTTCATGTTTTAAGACATCGGAAGGCCCTAGCGGCTGTCTGATGGACGCTTTTGGACATCACGGCCGCCACACCATGTGGCCGGACCCCGATCGGTGCAGTTACTTAAACAAAAAAACTAAACTTATCTAAGTTGCGGCGGATCACAGCCAGATCCGCCGGCGGGTCTATCCCCAGTGAGCGCGACGTTCCTATGGACGCCGGCTGCTTTAAAAGCAGCAATAGATATAGCCCTGCCTCTAGCAGGGCTGGAGGTCTTGCAGACATGCGTGTGCCGCCACACAAAGAGTATACGACCCCTGTATACCAATGAATGATAGGGAAGGGCTCTATAAGCCAATTTCTTTATTTCTTCTTTGCCCTGTCGTGGTTTCCACTTCTTTGATTATCTGAGAGCGCGTTTGGTATTATTATTCCTGGTTTTTGATCTTGCCTTATTCTGACTATCCGTATTTCTGGTATCCCTGATCCTTTAGCTTTGTCTTTGTGTTTATGCTCCTGTCTGTGTCCCTGACTTCGGCTTGTTTCTGACTATTCTTTCTTCATTAAATCCGACCATTCTAAAGGCATATCTGTAAATTGCTATTCAGATAATTTAGAAACATGTAACATCATTAACAAAGGTCGTTCTAATTGTAGATTATGCTAACGTAGTGTACCTATAATCTTAATTTTAATAATGACAGGAGGCGAATATTTTGCATAACTTTCTTTACTTTATGCCTCCAGCAGCACAAGTCAATCAATAAACTTTAAACCAATCAGTAACAGGCATCACATCCATATATAAAGCCCTGACAGACACATGACTTCCTCTTTCTTTGATGCGAAAAACAGTCTATTATAACGTCAGGGAATTCAAATAACAGTCCTGAGTAACGTGTAGCACATAACTTAAACGAAACTTGAAACCTTCCATCTTTATCTTGTCGAATCCATCTATGATGATTACGCTGAAAAGAACAGAAATACGTGAAAGGTGATGGAAACCAACTGTTGTCCACATTAAATCCAGTACTATATGTATCTATATTTATATTAAGTTAATATACTGAAACATTAAACAAACCATAGTATACTTAATAATCAACAACATGTCAACCAAATAAGCATCCCATAAATATACTGAATTACCAAAACCTTATAATTTACACTGAGAAAATGACAAACCAGAATATACAAATTTTACAGAGTATAGGGAGGGAAACAGGGAGGGAAAATATTTGCCTCCTGTCATTATTAAAATTAAGATTATAGGTACACTACGTTAGCATAATCTACAATTTTATCACATGACAGGAGGCTTCATATTTTGCATTTTTAAAGCTGTGGTATGAGCGAGAAGGATGCGTGTGTGGTTGACGAAAATAAATATACAGAAGTAGTCTATCCGTGTCCAATTCGTCGCTGAAAATATAGAGGCCCCCTCGTGAAGGCCTGAGAAGCAGCCGCGCCTCTTACCGAATGAGTACCCAAACACATCTCCACTCTCGCTAGCGATAACAACCAATGAACCCATCTAGACAGAGTGTTCATGGTAACTGGCTTGTACGGTTGGTATAAGACCAGCATATGTCCTGAATGTGACATTCTAAGTGTTGTCGTGATCTCCATGTAACAAAGTACCGCTTTAACTGCACAAAGAACGGAGGGATAGGACCGTGATATCTGACTAGCTCCAAAAGAACCAAATCAAAGTCCCACACCAGTGATACTTTGACGCATGGTTCTGGACGGTTTTATACCCCGCAGAAAATGGCATATCAAAGCCTCTTGATTGACCGGAGTGTCGTGAATCGTGCTATGCGTCATCGCAGAACGTAGCCCGTTAATGGAACGTTCAGATCGGCCTGTAGTGAAAAGGTATGATAAAGATCCAGCATCGTGGAGATAGGTGTAATAAAGGGATTGCAGTCCCTTCCCATACACAAGCGAACTCCAGGTGTTCCATGCGGATAGGTTATTTCGGGGATTACCTGGTGTCCATGAGTCCAATAGTAGGTCTCTAGTTGGTTGCGATAGTCCCTTGACATACCAGTCTCCCCTGAAAGACACCAATCTACCAACTCCAGATGCTCCTGCATTATCAATGGATGATCTCCTTTTGGATCCGCCCAAAGGCAAGTTAAAATGGAAGGAGCAGAGGATGATCCTGATTAAGGAAAACCCTTCTGGGTGTCACGCTTGACTCCTTTACCGCAGTAATGAGTACTATCGAAGTCTTCGCTATTCTGATCCCAATTTCATAGGTGTGTCTGGATCTCAGGCAGTGAGCTTTCAGCCACTGTCTGGCCCAGTAGTGAAGCAATCCTGGGAAATAGTCAAAGGGTTATGGTGCCTTTCCGCCGTACCCGTCGAATTTCCTTACGAATCGTCGCTATCAATGATGTGGGAAGGTGTAATCCGCCCAAGGTGGAATCTATTCTGAAGTAGAGGAACTGAATCACTCGGAACTGGGATCGAACCGACTCCTCTCTGTTCACTATGAATCCCAAAACTGTAAACATAAATCTCGTCATGAATTGGATCTGCAAAAGGTAAGTCGTCTAGGTATGCAACAGCAGATACCCTTTGCTTTTCAGTGCACCATGACCGACTTCAGAAACTTCATGAGGCACCATGTGAACCTATAGGTAAGTGCCCTTCAAGTCCAACCTTGTAGATCCCCTAAGAGATGGATACCTTCCTTCTTGAGTTGTTGGTACGCCCCAAAACCATTGAGTTGGCGTAGGTTGATGACTGGGTAATAGTCTCCTATCTTCTTCCTTACTACCAAACCGTTGCTGAGATAAATGGTTCTCCAAACGATAGTCCATCCGCCTGAGGTCCTCGCTCTTTCGTCCCTAACTTTAATAGTTTGAAATCCATCTTTAATCGGGCTGCTTTGCGCCGTTCTGTGCACCTGTCTGCCTTGCATTCCCCAACCTACATATTGCCCTTTGCACCCATTCCCTCACACCGTGAGCTTCTAGAGGTGAGTCTTGTGTGGGGTCAGGTCCGCAAAGTATAGAATTTTTTCCCGGGCTGATCATATCCAGTATTTCATCTTAAATTGTTTTGAGTCCTCCTCCTACACCTTTACATGGACCCCGGCCTGATCGGGACATACATATCACCACGAGCTCCATAGTGAGGACTATCTTGTTCGGACATAGAGGGCATGGGCATTCCATCCTGAGCCTGTCTCGGATTTCTTTTCCCATAGGCCTCCTAAGCCAGAAGTGGGCAAGGTGTGCCCGGTGCTCCGGTTAACCCCATTCGGATGACCCTGGTTGTCGGATGGTGCGTGAGTCAAAACAGGAGTGTCCAGTGTGCCAAAGAAAAAACCTATCTTGCTAGGC